ACAACCATGAGTATGTTCCTGCGGAGAAAGAAGATCATATCCAGAAATATGGGACATGCTCAACACAGGACACTATAGCGCTTCCATGATTGCACGTGGTTCCGCCTGGCAGTTGCAGCCATCGTACCACCACCATATTATGGTGCGGTCGACTACCACTCCTATTCGGAATCTTCTCCATCTCTCAGAACTAGGGCACTGCCCATCTTCTTTTTCCTTGGTTTGCTATCATGACCAAGTTCTGAAAGTTCCATATTTCCGCTTGTATAAAACATTTGCTGCCTGCAGGGTACCATTTTCAAATCCTTTGACCTTCACCAAGATCTATGGCTAGTTTTTGCTATCAAATCTGAGAATGTTTAAGGTGTGAAGGAGAGAGAACATGAGATGGTGAAATATGCTTCTGTCTGGGAGGAGCTAGTTTTACCGCAGAGAAGCTGTAGTTGGTTATTAAATGGTTTGGCCCACTTGTAGATACCTGGGCACTTTGCGCTTGGGGAAGTAACATGCATGATTTTATCTAGATGAGGTGAAACTATTAGCATGTAGTGATTTAGATGTGTGCACTGTGAGTGCCCTTAGAAAATAGGCCAAGGATGCACAAAATCTATGAAATACTTGAACAACATGGTCGTAGTGATGGTACAAGAACATAGACCAAGGATGCACAAAATTTCACTTTGGGTTTTATCAAGCCTGGCCGGGACCTGGCCTGACCCGGGGTATGATCACGTTTACCTGCTGCCCCACATGTGCAAAATCGTTTGACCTGGCCTCGTTTGGACCAAAGTGAGCACACATGATGAGGTGTTTTGTATCAACCAATGACTTGCGAGTTCATGAATAGTGAGCATGCTGGATAAGTTTGTATTCCCAGCATATTTCGCTCCATGGCGATACTTAACCCATTTAAATAGTACTCCCTCCGATCCAAAACTGTGACAATTATTATGGATCAGAGGGAGTAGCAAATACTATATTTATTGCCACCCAACCCAATAACCCATGTGACAGCATTATAATAAGTGTACAGGTTGGAGATACTGCAATAACTGCGCTGGTGATTTTCTCACCTCGACTTGCATGTCTTACCACGAATATGGGCATATATTGTGAAATGGAGGGAACGTGGGGAGTAGTCATCTGGTGGATACTCTGGGGATTCGTTCGTGATTTCAACTTATACCGCATCTTTACAAGTACATGTTGGTTAACGGCATTACGAATTTGTACCATGAAAGTATTTGTAACAATATAAGTCTACTGATATTAACTTCATCTGAGTAGTTGAGATGTTTCCCAGTATTTGGGGTGAGCATTTGACAAAACACATGCTGAACCATATCTATATTTTTAATTCACCACATTTTACAGCAGCTGTCCTTGTTCGAATCTGGTTTAAGCTATCAGTTTGTTGGATTTTTTGCTGCTAAATGGGGTGCGATGTAATGATACTTCAACTTCATGTTTAACCTGACATTTAAAAGGAAAACGACCAAATGTAGGCTATACTCATACAAAGAGTCGACATTGAATTATCTGGCACGCCTGAGATATGGACAAGCTTTGGGGCTTTACCTTACTAGATGCACATTGTATGTAATGGCATACTTATTCGTTCATCTTATTTCCACATGGTCTTGTCTACTGACAGCCAATGAAGAAAAAGAAAGTTAAACTGAGATCACTTGAGTTATTGCCTTACTGTCTTGTGCCCATGTTGTGACTATAAATTTTGTTTGATTAGCCAATATAATGCCTTTGTATTCATCATCTTCTAAGGACACATCCTGCAATATGTATCCATTATGATTACAGTGACGTTGTGGGTAAAAGCTTGAACCAGAAATAGCAGCCAAGTATCCTGGTGTTGGACTAGATGGGAACATGAAGCGCATTGGACTTGTATAAAACACTGGTGTTTGGGCCATTTTTTCAGTGTTAGTTGAGAGCAGCAATATTACGTCTTAAAGCTGCCTCTTTCCCAGTGAATGGTGCTCTGATCACCTGTTATGCTACTTGAGTTGATTTATATGAACATACTGGATAGTTAAACAATGTGATGTTATAGAATTTGAGTTAAACCATGTCAATACTTTAGACGTAATTTATGCTCTGGACCTAGTTGGCTAGAATGCAGTTTTATTTACTAAAAGAAGGCATATTTATTCTGCTTGCCTTCTACTCCCTCTGCTCTTATATTTCTTTACGGAGGGAGTAACAGTTATTTTAAATCAAGTCTTATACTGCTATGGACAAATATTTAACTGGCTGCTTGTTTTCATTTCAGGACGTGGAGTCATCCATCCAGGTCGACCATGCTGAGATAGAGCATCATTTTGGTTGTAACGTCGTACTACCAAGTTTAGCATTTCAATTCTCTGGTGCTTTATTGTGGGATATAGAGAACCGAGTAATTTTATACCGAGGATTTTTAACTCGCAGTATTACTTGAACAATGGTAAATCCTATTTAGCTGATATCTCTTCTGAGGCAGTAGCACGGCCGAGGATATTAACCGTGGACTCGTTTGGGTAATCTTATGATAGTATTGTGGACTATAGCTAATACGTCATCTTTGTTAGTACCCGTGCGCTATTCGTCAAACGGCTCGGTGAATGATCTCTGCATCTTTGCTACCCATTGCCAGTCAGCTGGTTTGAGGAAAAGAGACGGAGGTGGTCTCTTTGTTGCCAGAGACGCAGCATTAGTTGGTAATGTCCTGTTGAGTGGTTGGGCAGCGCCATTGGCACACCTTTTGGGGCAAATGCTCTGCCTTTGTTGTGTTGGTCTCGGAAGCACGTGAGATGCATTCACGCTTGCATTATCGCCCTGAGAAAACGCACAAGGGCATTTTCAAATGAAATCGGTACCGCGTAGTCTTGTCTTTGTTCTCTGTTCGCTTCACCATATGTCTTCACAGTCCATGTCTTCTGTTCTCTAAGTCCGTTTGACCCACCCTTGCTGTTTGGATTTTATGCCTATTTGAGAGACAGGGTTGACTTGTATCTTGTTCATGGACATGTTCGGACGTGATTTGTGGATGGATAGTGTGTCTGTTTTTGGAAAGAGCGTTGGAAGATGCCCTAAGTGGTTGTTTGGATAGAGGAGATTAGCGATGGGATTATGGAAAAAGCGTTTTAAGCTGGTTTTAGGGAAAATCGGTTTTATCTACGTTTTTGAGAATAACCAATTTATACAAAACTATGTTTGGATTAGAAAAGTAAAAAACCGGCCGCTTCAGTTATTTGCTCGACAGTTAATAGCAAAAGAGACCACGTATTTCAGGACATAGAAAGAAGCTGCTTATAAGAAGCAAAACGCTGTTTGAGATGGACAACAAGCATGGCAAAGCATGGCCACATATACTCAGCAGATACTCCCTCTGTAAAATAAATAAATAAAAGTGTTTAGATCACTAAAGTAATAATTTAAACGTTTTTATATTTCTTTACAGAGGGAGTATATATAAATTGGAGTTCGCTACAAAGATTTCCTAATGTAACAAACATGGCGAAGTTACTTTGGATAATCTCATTTACATAATGATCTATGCTTGATGACGGTATGCATATCCTATCAATTTAAAATGTCAACCAAATCCATACAATCCCTTTTATCGAATTGAAAATTCCAATCTATACGTAGGGTGTCGAAGTACCTTCAAGAGCCGCAACAGTGTTGATTCCTTCCTCCATGGGGCTTGCTCCAACTCCTCCCTTGCAACCAAATTCCGCACGGTTTTACAAAGCAAGCGACCCTGCCCTCATTGAAGACCTCTAGTTATCCTCGGACATCACGCTCATTGGATCCAAATGATGGCTAAACCAACAAGGTGCGGAAAGGCGATGCGACCACCATAGAGAAAACACAAACGGTTGTAATCAGCGTGGGGACCAGTGAATGGGAACCGAGTTGGGAGGAGAAAGAGCGTAGGAGTGGTAAGGAAGACGACGCATTGAATCCCCGCCCCCCACCCAGTTCCATGGTCCAGAGATGACGAAGGCCAAGACGGTCCAAGTTCTATAGCGAGAGGATACGACTTAGACACACCATATTTGTGTAGGTGTGGAATGCAATAACATAGAGTTGTAACATCTGCATACCCGTGGAACCGAGAAACTATTTGTAAGTTACCATCAATCCTAGCGAACAATATCATCTATATCTGAATAGCCGGCCCACTATTAGATTGCTTTACAGTACTCTACATCTTTTGCATTAATATCCTATCCTCCATGCAATGCTCATCAAGTTATGCATGTTACTCCCTCCGTTCCTAAATATTTGTCTTTTTAGAGATTTCAAATGGACTACCACATACGGATGTATATAGACATATTTTAGAGTGTAGATTCACTCATTTTGCTCCGTATGTAGTCACTTGTTGAAATCTCTAGAAAGACAAATATTTAGGAACGGAGAGAGTATATCTTTTACATTGATTGCAAAAATGCCACCCCATCAAGCACTTACATACTTCTTAACTTTAAATGTTTCTAAAATGTAAACTCATGACACGTTTACATATATTTTCCCATTAATTTTAGTTATTTTAAGCACCTACTTATGCATTTTTTGAAGACATTGGCATAGTATATGAAGGGACCAGACGTGTGAAAATAAGTTCTCGAGGGGTCCTTTATAGTACTACACACCACTGACGCGCCTGCAACACGTGTCGCCCTCTGATTGGCCCTCTACACGTGGAGGCCGGATGGGTCCCGACCCGAAGCCAGTCTCCACGGAAGCAACGACCACGGCAAGCACAACAAGGTCCCGGAGCCCGCGAGATCTCGACGGTCGCAAGCACAGAGCAGCACGCCCAGGCACGAGAGACCACCCTGCTTCGCCGATCGCCGGCGGGAAAGGCCAAAGCCCCGCGCGCCTCGCGCGAACCAGACGCGGCCACGGCACCACCGGCCGCCGCCGCGGCCAAGGGGAAAGGCTCCTCGCCGTCACCGCCGCGGAGGCCCTATCGCGCCACCGCCGTCGTCGCGATGGCCGCGTCCGTCCTCGCGCTCGCCGTGGCGCTCCTCCTCGGCGCCAGCTCCCGGGTCGACCACGGCGCGGCCGCCGCCCCCGTGTCGGAAGAGGGGCTCCAGGTCCGCCTCCCAGATCTTAAGATCCGCCAAGAGATTGGGATTTTTGCGAGGAACTGGGTTTTGATCTGGATCTGGATGGCGTTGCAGGTGACCTACGGGAGCACGGTGAAGCTGATGCACGAGAAGACCAAGGTGAGGCTTCACTCGCACGACGTGGCCTATGGCTCCGGCAGCGGCCAGCAGTCCGTCACCGGTTTCCCCGAGATCGACGACTCCAATAGCTACTGGGTGGGTGCCTCTCCATCTCTTATGGTTTCATTTCGCGCGATTGCCGCCATCTTCCAAGTTCATGTCAAACCGTGGTTTTGAAAATTGATGAAGCCAGCGTTGGCTCTTCGTTCAGAGTGCAAATGCTCTACCCGCACTGATTGAAATCAGGGTGCAGGTGTGCATGTCATATCAAAGAAACATAGGAATGGTATAGAGAATTAAAAAAATTGTAAGGTCTGGACGGAGAAAACCGAATCATTAGGCATCAGTTGTTTACCTGCCACTTACATTGTCCAAACTGTGGAAATTTGTCACTTCGATTCATTGGATAATTATATGTAGCTATCCAATCTGACATCTCACTAAATAGATGGATAAATCAAAACAGTAGCATGATGAAACTCCAATACTGACACTGCAATGCTGCTAGTTTTTTCATTCCCAAACCCAAAGTCCCAACCTAATGTTATTTTGTGGCTAAAGAATTGGCAGTTAATTGCGATATTAATATGATTCGTCTTTCATGTAGTCTGATATTCCATCCTGAAGTAGGCAAGGTTAGAAGATGCTGTTGAACATCTAGGCTTGACTTTGCTTGTATTCCTGCAGGTCGTGAGACCTACTCTTGATTCATCTGCCAAACAAGGTGATGCTATTGAAACTGGTAGCATCATCAGGTTGCAACATATGAGGACACGAAGATGGTTACATAGCCACCTGCATGCTTCACCATTATCTGGTAACCTAGAGGTTAGTGTGATACCTAGTAAGTTCGTTTTGATATGTTGAAGAACCTGTAAACATTAATTTACTTAAATATATTTTGCTCTCTAGAAATGAATATTTGTACATTATGTGATTCCCAGTAGCCATCGTATCTATGGCCAGGAGTAAAGCTTTTGCGATTAGACGATACAATTTTTTTCCTAACCACTCCCAATGCATCATATCTAAAGCTATATCTTATACACTAAATAAGCATTTATATACAATTCTCATATGCTTTGTATCTAAAGAGTTCATATTTAATATGATTTTGTGATTAATGGTAGAATTCCAACTATGTGGCTTGTTCGTGGCATGTGGCTGCACAAACCATTGTTGAGCCAAATCAAGCACAACTGCGTTATCTAGATGTTAATTGTGTAACTAATACTAGCAAATCAAAATTAACTGAAAAAAATGCACACTCACAAAGCTTATTCATGAACATCTCTGAACTGGACATTGACTACAATCAATTTGATCACACATTTTAGCGAAGCATTGCCCAGCCACGAGAATCATCCACATAACAATTTGATTCACACAATCTACAGATACTTGTTGCTTATAAGTTAAACCTTCCTATTTACCAATGATTCATGGTACATCTGTGTACGTTATACTATCTAGAATATATTCTGCAAATACACGACCAAACTGGGATTAATTTTCCTAATTCCTTGGTGGCTGAAACATCTTCTCCAAGTCAATTTCATAAATTAACTCACAGTGCACAAATAACCCCACTTAGATTCCATTCCCGAAACAACAAGCACGGAGGCAGTGCATTCAAAGGGAGTATATACGTAACTCACGGTGAGCAAGATGAAGGCCTCCATTGGCTCTGTCAGTTAGCAACCAGACACCAGCACTTGTCTCCATTGGCTCTGTCAGTTAGCAACCAGACACCAGCACTTGTAGCACCAATGATGGAGGAGGGTCGGGAAGGAGGGGGTGGGATTGGGGGAGTACAGGATCAGAACAGCTTTTAGGTTAGAGGAACGCCTGGTCAGGGCTTGGCAGTGGCCTGAACTGACGACTTTGGTAGCATCGGTGGTGGCAGACAGCCCAAGGCCTGACTAGGTTAGGCAACAGTATGCGAATGTGTTGGGAAGGGAGGCAGGGAGAATGCAGCAGAGAGCAAGATGGGTGGGGATGGAGGACTGCGGCGTGAGGCAGGAGGACGGCTTTGTAATTTCCTGGCTAGGCCTCCGGAGGACGGCTTTGTGTTTCCTGGCTAGGCCTTAGGGTATCATGGCATAGCAGCACCTGTGAAGAGAAACTTATATCCTGCATTATATGGTGAGCATCCTGTCTCTATTTTCCTCATCTTGCCCTATCCATGGTAGGTGGATAATTGACACATGTTGTCTTGCACACGGTGTCCTTTGTCACAAAGAAAGAAGTTGTTGCCCATGTTCTTGAATCAAGTGACCGATAATGTCTACAATAACTTGCAACTGCCAAGCCCAAATGCTACCAGGCTGTTTTTTAGCAGCTTGTGTTGTGTGTCATGTAATTGCTGTCGTACCGAAGCTTGGGCGCACTAAAATCCTATCGGTAGGCCCAGGGCCAACCATCTTCATTACTATGAATAGACTTATCACTAGGAACTCATGTGGACAATTCTTTGCTGTGCGCAAAGACGTTTTGTTTTACTATATGTTTCTTTTGCTTTTTTTATTGAATTAAGTATGCGCCCTTAATCTTGAATGTGAACTTTACAGGTTAGCTGTTTTGGTGGGGATGGACAATCAGATACCGGTGACTATTGGAGGTGTGATTGCTTACAGTATGTGATGCATGCTACCTATTTGATTGCCTAACTTAATCTAGCTTAATGTCTTGCATTTCTATTATGCAGGCTAGAAATTGAGGGAAAGGACAAGGTATGGAAGCGAGATCAGAAGGTAAGATTGCGTCATGTTGATACGGGAGGTTATCTGCACAGTCACAACAAGAAGTATAACAGGCTTGGTGGTGGGCAGCAAGAGGTGAGTGTGATAATAGTTATAACTTACAAGTACAACCTTGTTCTGACATATATTAACCTTATATGCCAATGCCATTGGGTAATGCATGTTTAGAAACTACAGCTATTAATGCTAAGAAATAATAAAATTGAATTACATGCAGTATGCTTCGATGTCAACACACACTATTTGTTCAAGAACTCTAAATTAGCAGTCCTTGATCTTCCAAACATCAAGGAAATTTATTTTATCAATAAAATGAGACGGCATGAAAATGTCACAGCTATTTAATACATATGTTTTTTTAAGTTGTTGCAATGGATTCAGCTATTACCATGTGGTCTTATTTTCTATGAATTCAGGCAGTATGACATTTGCCTTTCATAGACACGAGCTTTTCAGTTAATGCGACCTTGGTTTGCTTATCTATTGTTTAAGTTACCTGTTTTCTGAGTTGAAACATTCTTCATGCAGGTCTGTGGTGTTCGAGACAAGCGAGCTGAGAATATTTGGTCGACAGCGGAGGGCGTTTATCTCCCAGTCGATGAAAGCAAGTGAACATAGCATCAGGAATTTTACTGACATTTTCCATTTTTCTATCTGTTCATGCTTTTAAATTAAACAAGGGACATGGTACCCAGAACTAGAATGATTGTTAGTGCAGTATTTTTCTATTTGGAAACGGCAATTACAACTACACACGCGTCATAGTATGACTCTGTCAGCATCATCACCCTGAACTAAATTGGGCCTCGGAATGCTTGAACCCCTGGGACAGTAAAGACTTTGTGTGACTATCTACAACTCAACTTTATTCTGGGATAAATTGAAGAGGTTGTACAACGATGTGGCTTCTCTAGTGTCAACAAACTGGTTACGATGAAAAGAGAGGAGAGTGATACCGTGGAACCACAGGTATACTAGAGCAGAAAGCGAATGACGATCTGCACCATAGGGGGTCAGAGGCAGGCACAGATTTGGGTGGCAAGTGGCAACATAGACCGACTCCACGGTGGCCTCCTTGCGAGGTTTGACAGCGAGTTAAATATATTTTTCTTGATGTCCTTATGTTTTCATAGTTGATGGTGTCCTGCTAGGTTCAAACTACAAACGTCTTGCCGTCCCTTTTGATCAGTGTGTACCCTTATCAGATTTGGCTAGTCAAGTTTTGCTACCTCCGGCATGTGCTCTTACCTATTAGACCCAAATTATTTGCCTTTGACTCCAGCATCTAAACCTTCACCTCCACTTACATCAACTACAGGTGTAGCCCTATGCACATATTACACCCGAATTCCAATAGTTAGTACAAGATAGAAACCTCACACTAAGTGGTTGATCCCAGATGTCTCCTACTCCTATTCTAAAGGTAGCATTGACCCCTTCTTTGCATTTTTTTTCAAACATGTCTCTCATTGCATCGTTATTTGGTAACAATTGGTGTTGGTGAGAAAGTTGGGGAACCTATATTAAAATGAAAAATAGTCGGTTTCCCAAGACACTTTATGCACGGAAGGTATAGTATTCATAAATAATGAACATCTCTAGTGCTATATGGTACAAATAAGGTACATTTGTATTGCTACAAGATACCACGACGATACGAAGAGACAATGACTATAAGAAACTTTATGTCTATTGAAAAAAACTTGGTAATGCAGGATACAAGAATGGGAATAAATGATTCCTAGGTAGTTAAACAAGTGCATAAAGGAGATTCCAACCATCTTTACAAAATAGCAAGCAGGTCATGGGCATGATGAATATGTATTGTGACTAATTGAGGCCTGAGTCTACCCCAAAATAGTATCTTCGGATGCTGATAGCATTGTGATTCGTATGTTAAGGAAGACAAAAATCTATTGTTGAGGAAGATAATGGCGGGACACATTATGTTATTGCAAATGGTTGAAGTGCTTCACATAATTGGCAGAATAATATCATATATACTTAACTTCACACTTGCAGAATATCTTTCAAATTGTATATTTCATCAATTCATCATTAAAAGATTACTACAGTCAACAAATAAAGCATTGAATACAATCATACATCAGAATGCCCAAATAAGTAAGGACGAGATGCATCATTTCTGACCTGATGCATGTTATTTATGCCTCTTGTCAATTTGGCCTATCATCCATGTGGTCCCGCTAATTTTTTTAGTACAACTCATGACACTTGTTATAAGATTAAAAATGAGGCGGTCACGTGGTAGACAAACTATTGGTCGCTATCATGGTTTGCACTCGAAGTGCAGATGTTTGTGGTGCCGTCTGAATCAACAAGTGTTTCCGGCGGTACTATTCTCCATGAACCAAATCGTTCTCACTCTACCCAGTTTAGAGCATCTCCAACAAGGCAATCGCATGAACATCACACTTCAACACTACGGCTAGAAGAAAATTACCATGACAGTAAAGGGACATGTGAGAGATTACTGTGGTTAGATTCAAATCAAGAGAAGGTGCTAGTAAATCGTATTTCCATACGTTACATCTTAGACACACATGATTGGAGACCTCTCTATGTAGTCAGGGAATGTTGTTCACCCAATGAAGCAAACTTCAGGTACACGGCCTTCATTTGGTACTAACCGTTAGATCCATGATGTCTCCTACTCCTATTCTCAAGGTAGCATTGCTCCCTTCTTGCATTGTTTTGTTGTTAACAACTGATGACGGGAGAGCCCCTGTGGACCTCCTAAACTACAGAGAGA